ACAGGTGTACCTTCGACTTGATGATTTCCATTCCTTTGGATATATTCCCAGGAGTGGGATAGCTGGGTCGTATGGTAGGTCTATCTTCAGCTGTTTGAGGAACCTCCAAACCATTTTCCATAGGGGTTGCACCATTGTGCATTCCCACCAACAGTGTAAGAGAGTTCCTTTTTCTCCGCAGCCACGCCAGCATTTATCTTTCGGTGTCTTTTGGATTTTTGCCATCCTAACTGGGGTGAGATGGTATCTCAGTGTGGTTTTGATTTGCATTTCCTGGATGCTGAGTGATGTTGAGCATTTTTTCATATGACTGTTGGCCATTTGCATATCTTCTTTAGAGAAATGCTTACTTAGTTCTTTTGCCCATTTTTTGATTGGGTTGCTTGTTTTTTTCTTGTAAAGTTGTTTGAGTTCTTTATATATTCTGGATATTAGTCCTTTGTTGGATGTGTATTTTGCAAATATTTTCTCCCACTCTGTTGGTTGTCTTTTAGCTCTGTTAATTGTTTCTTTTGCTGTGCAGAAGCTTTTTAGTTTGATATAGTCCCATTTGTTTATTTTTCCTTTGGTTGCCTGTGCTTTTGGGGTCATATTCATGAAGTCTGTGCCCAGCCCTATTTGCTGAAGGGTTTCTCCTCTGTTTTCTTTAATAAGTTTTATTGTTTCGGGGTGTATATTTAAATCCTTGATCCATTTTGAGTTGATTTTAGTACATGGTGAGAGATGTGGGTCTAGTTTCAATCTCCTGCAAATGGATATCCAATTTCGCCTCTCTCCCGGAATCCCTGCCACATTCTTACCCCCTTGGGACTTGGTCCTTTTCCAGGGCTCTCTGTCTCAGACTGTGGGAATCACTACCCACCCAGCTCTGACCTGAAATGTTATCTTGACATGCCTTTCTGTCCACCTGTTTTTCCACCTCATGACCCTGGTCTAAGCCACCATCATCTCAAAAACATGACCGCAGTGGCCTCTAACTGGTCTTGCTCTCAGTCGTCCTCTGCCTCTAGCAGCCTCACATCCTGTAGTGACTTCTCTGTGCTCTCGGGATAAAGCCCAACTCCTTGTGACCTGCAAGGCCCTGCCTGGGTGGTCCTTCCCTGAAGCCTGTCCAGTCCCAAGACCCCTCCCTTCTCTGAACCACGTTTCAGTTCTTCTCATACTCCTCATCTTCTCCTGCTGCAGGGCCTTTGCACATGCTGTTCCCTCTGCCTGGAATGCTCTTCCTGCCTCCTTCCTCACCCCTGCCTTTGAAGAGTCAGTTCCTCTTCATCCTTCAGCTTTTAACTCAAGCTCTGCTTTCTTGGGAAGCCACTGTCGGCCCTCTAGCTGGCTGGCATTCTTTGGTTTGTTACCCTCTTTCATAGGACTGTGTTTGTGCTTCCCGTTGAGTTGTCTTGGTCACATTTATCATGGGACATTTTCTTACTGCCTTTCCTCCTTGTTGGACCGTATACACCATAGGAATGGGAGTTGGTCCCTTCTGGTCACCTCTACTTTCCTCTCACCCAGCAGGGGCCTGATTAATTTTTTGTTAAATGAAAGACTCTTAATGTATATTTAGCATTTGCTATGTGCTAAGCACTCCACATGCATTAATGTGGTTAACCCTCACGAAGCCCTAGGAGAAAGTTCTGTATTCTTCCCACTTGACAGATGAGAACACTGAGGCACAGGAAGCAAAGTGACTTTCTAAAGGTCACACAGGGAGTGAGTGGAGGAGCTGGGACTTTAGCTCTAACTCCATGAAGCTCTAACCACAATGGGACCCTGCCTCTCTGGCTGGGTCCTCCCCATAGCTGTGTGAGGGTTAAGGATAAGAAAGCAGAGGCTCAGAGAGGTGAGGTCACTTGCTAAGGTCACACAGCTGATTGGCAGTTCCCTGAGTTATAAGCTTCAGTGTTCCCAACGCTGAGCATATTCTGTGAACCCAATAAATGTTTGGCTGAGTGGGAATTGAACTCATTTTGTCAGGGAATCCAACAACTAACTCCACCCTGAACCCCCTGCTGCAGGGCCTTTGTACACGCTATTCCCTCTGCCTGGAGTATTGCCCCTGTGTGAGTAATGCTCTGTCCCTTTCCAGCCAGATGACCTCAGGAGAGATCTGATTACTCCAAGGTCCTACAGATAGGAGGGCTTGGTGTCTTAGCTCCCTACTGGGGGACATCCTGTGGGTCTCAGGCTGGGTTTCCTCTGCAAGAGGCAGCTCGTGTGGGTGCTCCTAGGATGCCCTTGGGCCAGCAGCTCCCTGGCCATTCCTTTCCCCAGCCAGGGCAGCCAACTGTCTTATCCACGTCTACAAGTTCCAGAGACAGCCCCACCCTGGCAGAGGTGTCGGTTGAGTTTTCTAGATCTTCCTCCAGCCTGGGAATAGTTTCCTCCATGACCTGGAACAGGCAGATGGCAAAGTGCCTTTCCCTACCATCCCCCAGCAGCTGCTGTACTGCTCTTAACAGCTCACAGTAAACACCCCGGCTGAGAGGCAGTGGCTGTTTCCCTTGTTTCACCCATACTGTCTTTTATGTTCTTGGACAAGGAGGCATAATATCACATAGTTTTTCAGTTGAGGAAACTGAGGCCTATAGAGGTTATGTGTCTTGTGTGAGGTCACACAGCCAGAGAAGGGGCAGAGCTGGGAGTCAAGCCAGGTGGGCTGTCTCTAAAGCCCCTTCTCTTAAACTTGGCTTTGTGTACAAAGTCAAATTCATACATGGGGCTGAGAACGTAGGAGATGATCACCAAGATGGCCAAATACCTAGTACCCTTTCTAGAGTGCTAGAAAGACCTTTTGTTGCCTAATATCAATTCCCAATGAGCTGTGCTTGAGTAGTCCCTGCTTTTTTTTTTTTTTTCCCCTTTTTGTCTTTTTTACTGACAGGTAACGGGATCGCAACCCTCGAATGAGCTGTGCTTGAGTAGTCCCTGCTTTTTTTTTTTTTTTTTTTCCCCTTTTTGTCTTTTTTACTGACAGGTAACGGGATCGCAACCCTCGGTGTCGCGCCCGCACCGTGCTCAACCAGTGAGCGGGAACCGGTCTCCACATGGGATCCTGCCGAGGGGCAGGAGCGCTGCCGCACTCCCAAGCGACGCACTCTCCATTGCGCCACCGGGCCGGCCCGAGTAGTCCCTGCTTTTGAAAGTGGTGCCTGAGTTTTAAAATATGTTGCAGATATTCACTAGGTCAGGAAGTCTGTGGTCAGTCTTTTTTGTTAAAGCTGGATTTTGTCTAGTGAGTTGGTTGAGAGCAGGAGTTGCCTGTGTGTCTAATTCCTACAGGACCCTGGCTAGGCTCATGGTTAAGAGCACAAGCTTCAGAATTGAGCTGGGGCTGAAATTCTGGTTCTGCTACTCACCAGCTGTAGTTAAGAACTGAGGCATAGAGCTGGGTTCCTGCATCCACTCCTTGCTTGCTGTGTGACCTTGGACAAGATATTTAACCTCTCTGAACCTCAGTGTCCTCATCTGTGGAAGAGAGAGAGATAACACTGACCTCCACCCGTGGGTGAGGGTAGAACAGGATAGTGTATGTGGAGAGTTTAGTCAAGTGCAGGCAGTGAGTGTCCAGGAAACAGTGGCTAATGGTCATCATGGTTAATAATAACCATTACATTGATGTAGTGACAGCATTAACCCTCCAGAAGGTCCTTCAGGCATTCATGGTGTTTGCTCTCTCCTCCCTCTCTGCTCACTCTCCCCCTCGCCCCCTCCCTCTCTATCCCCTCTCTACCCCCTCCCCCATCTGTTTCCCTCTCTGTCTCCTCCCCCACCCCCTCCCTCACAGGTAGAACTGCATGTCCACCTAGATGGAGCCATCAAGCCCGAAACCATCTTATACTATGGCAGGTAAGTCCATAGATAAGAGCCCTCCCTCCCCAGGACTTGGGCGGGGTCCTCAGCTCCACCCAGAGGGCCCCCGAGAATTCCAGGATCACTGCTCCTTCCTGTATCCCTGTGGGAATCAAGCCAGACCCCAGCCAGAGGACGGTCGTCTGTGGGGACACACAGGCCTCAGCTCCGAGCTGCAGCACCACAGCCCAACTCCTGGGCCTTCCAGGCCTCTCACTCTTGTCCTTCTGCTGCCAGGCCGGCCAGCCTGAGCTTGTCCCCACCCCCACCCCCCAACCACATGCAAGTGAAGGTAGTTTCCAGGGCTGAATCAGTTACTGGTTTCTTCTGACTTGGCCGAGAGCCTGTGGCAGGAGACGCCAGGGATGGTTTGCTGAGCCTCTCCTCGTGCTGGGCTGGCTGGCCCTGTACTTGTATCAGCTCGTCTAATTCCGCCACACTTGGAAGAGGAGAATATGTGCCCCCCACTTTACTCAGGTAGGGATGTGCTTAGAGAAGTGAGGACCATTGCCCAAGGCCACACAGCAAGTTAACAGTAGAATAAAGAGTTGAACCCAGGACTGTCTGATCCCCTGTGCTTTTACTATATCATCGTGGTAATAAAGTTGAACCCAGGACTGTTGAACCCAGAGTTAAAGAGTTGAACCCAGGACTGTCTGATCCCCTGTGCTTTTACTATATCATCGTGGTAATAACCTGCTAGGGATCATGGAAAAGTGGCTCCCTACTCTGGGCCCAAATCTCTGCATCTTCCAAACGAGAACAGACTCCTGCCTCAGCTCTGGTGCATGCTGGTGGACCAAAGCATCTCCAGCTCGCCCCAGTGAGGGAGGTTCGTCCCTCCCTCCCCAGACCTCAAGGGCTCATAGCGGCCTCTCTCTTGGGTCCAGCGTTTAAGAGCAAGGACTTTGGAGGCCAGTGGATCTGCATTCAGATCTGAACATGTCATTTCCTCTCTGTGACCTTGGCCTCTATAGGTTGAGGGTAAGAATAGGGTCTTCCTCCAGGGCTGACCTGGGAGACAGGGGCCGCTCCTCCCAGCCCAGCCCAAGCCCAGCAGACCAGAGTCCTTCACGTGTCTGTGGAACACTCATTTTGTTTGGAGCTGGAAGGACTCAGCCTCTCCTTCATTGTCTTGAGAAGTTCAGCTCCAGACCCAAATTTGAACATTCTCAAATCCCCTCAGTTGTCCAGATATCTACTCCTTGGGAGAGAATTTGTAATCCCTGGGAGTTTGCCCCGAACCTCTCGGGAGCTTCTCTTCCGCCTGCCTGAGAGTTCTGGTAAGTACACTCCCCTCTATCTGTTGTTCTACATTTTTCTGCCCTAGGAAGCTGTCATTGATTCTACTTTTACTTGTCTGTATAATACAAGCACATTAGCATCTTCTGTGTACCAAACACTCCTTTAAGGGCTTCATCTGGGCTAAC